TGACATGCTACCTTTTGCAGATCCTGCTGTGAGGTGCCAGCTCTCACCTTAGCACATATGGAGACACTTACTTTAAGCCTGGGGATTCTGCTCTGGGGCTGGGAACCTGGAGATTAGGAATTGCAGCACTTAGGACCATAGGTAGTGTTCTTCCGCCTGAAGCTGTAGCTGTGTCTGAAAGCCTGCACGCATCTGAGTCCTAGGTCTGTTTCCATTGTATGTTGGCAAAGTTACCAGTATGGAAATAGGAAATATCTAGTGGTTGATTACTAGATGGGAGATAAACATATCCTTACTATTCTGCTGAAAAACTGCCGCTTTCCCCCAGCAGCACCAGTGCGACCCACTCCTGGGGTGACGCACCTCTCAGAATGAAGAATTCAGAACTAGCCTGTCCATGGCACAACAGTGATAAAAATGCTGGTGCGGAAGAATATCTTTGTATGTTCAGTTGCTGAGCTGCCTTCTTTGTTTGAATCCTCCTATGTTTCACTTTCTGCTGCCCCTCCTCCCCTACCAAACTGAAACTTAAAATGCTGTCATTAGAGTTCAGGTTATTTGGAGGTCAAATTTTTACTGAGATCGCTTTGAACATAAACATAGCTCTGTACTGGATTGGGGGGAGTGGGGGTGGTTATGCAGCACTGTCCTCTGTTTCTGTACTATTACCACATAACACAATAAAGCTGTCATCTCTTTTCTTCCCTACTAGATTCTAGTTATTGCCCATGAGACCTGTATTAAAGGAGTAGTAACCTTGGTTTCTCCCTGTGAACTGAGAACGTAGAGTAGTACTCTTCTGTTCAGCTTCTGCTAGCTGCCTTCTCCCTAGGCCATGGGTTCTGGAGAGCACGCAGTCCACATAGATATCCCAGAAGAGCTGAGCCAGGTCCCAGAACAGAGCCCCATGTTTCAAGTTCTCTGATGATTTCAGGAAGATCATGAAGTCCCAAAAGCCACTGACAGAGTCAGAAATGCGAGGCTTTCTCATCTCCAGTAAGACAGCTGAGGAGGATTCCCAACACTGGGGGTCTGCTCGCCCAAGAGCTAGTGGATCAATTTGGCTATGGCAGAGGAAGGGTGTCACGCAGAATGCTCCCATGATTAGCAGAGAGCAGGTGAGTCTCATGTTGCAGTGGATTCTTCCTCTGCTCCCAAGGTCCATTGTGTCACTGAAATGTAACAAAACCAAAAAAAGCTGAAAAACTTGATTCTTACATGCAGGAGCAAAACCCTGGTACCTACATGATAGAGAAGGCACTTCAGATGTTGATAATTGTTTCTTTGCTCTTTAAAAATCTGTGTATGCTTTTTTTGCATGTATGAATATAATTATTAGTGGAGTTGCATTACCCTGTGCAACAGAAATGTGTGTTAAAATTTATTAATCGTCCTCAAATCCATGTGATGAACTCTTTTATCTGGAACTTCTTCATATTGAAAGTTTTTGGCCTTTCTTGATTTTCTTGATTCTTTCTAGATCCCTAACCTTTTTCAGTAAAAATCCATTCCTTTTTACAGAGAATTTAAGCCTTTAGGCAGTCTTGCTTTCCTCAAAATTTTATGAGCCCTTTAAAACAGTCTGCAGACTCACAGGGATCTGCGGACAGCAGGTGGAAAACTCTTTGTTGAAAGTGTGTTCTAATGAATTAATAATCGTTTGCAAAATCATCCACTGAACAGGGGTGTTTTACCTGCTAAAATGCAGAACAGTTCTGAAAAGAGGGTATAGCAAAGCCACAGCATAGCAGCTGTATTGTACAGCAGGTATACATGCATATAGAATCATAGAATAGTTTGGGTTGGAAGGGACCTTTAAAGGTCATCTAGTCCAACCCCCCTGCAATGAGCAGGGACATCTTCAACTAGATCAGGTTGCTCAGAGCCCCATCCAACCTGACCTTGAATGTTTCCAGGGATGGGGCATCTACCACTTCTCTGGGCAACCTGTTCCAGTGTTTCACCACCCTCATGTTGAAGAATTTCTTCCTTATATCTAGTCTGAATCTACCTTCTTTTAGTTTAAAACCATTCCCCCTTGTCCTGCCGCAACAGGCCCTATTAAAAAGTCTGTCCCCATCTTTCTTATAAGCCCCCTTTAAGTACTGAAAGGCTGCAATAAGGTCTCCCTAAAGCCTTCTCTTCTCCAGGCTGAATAACTCTCTCAGCCTCATAGGAGAGGTGTTCCATCCCTCTGATCATTTTTGTGGCCCTCCTCTGGACCCACTCCAACAGGTCCATGTCTTTCCTGTACTGAGATATATACGCATAAAAGTGCAGACGCTTATTGCAGGTCACTGTAACACTTGTCTATTACATTAAAATTGTAAAACTTAGTAAGTAGCAGCTATAGTAAGTAGCAGCTATAGTGAGAGAAATCCTGAGACCTTTTGGGGACAGAAAGACCCAGCTCTGTTTATCAGATTTCATTTCTAGTACATACTTCTATTGTGCATTTTCTAACATGTTTCTAGTATTTCTAGTATTGCATTTCTGACACACATTTCTAATGTGTAACAGGTTTGGGGTTTGTTTTTAGTGTAGCTCATGGCATATGGAGAACCTCCCATTTGTGGAAGTTGGCAACATCCGAGATGAGCTTTTAGGACAAACAATTCTGTTTAATGTGTGTGCTGATCTGTTGAGTATTCATGCTTTTATGTTTTTGGTTTGATTGTTGGAGGGTGATGCGGGGGGAGAAGCTACCTCTCTTAATGAGCTTAACTTAATAATCAACCGGCTTTTTGTGTAGAAAGCCTGTTCCATGAGTGATCATCAAGAGCACAAGCAATGTTCCTCTGCTACGTGAAGAAAAATGTCAAAGGCAGGATAAGTGTGTGCAGACGGATTGTGTGTGAAAGGTAGCCCAGCCACAGCCAGTGTGCAAGACCAGGGAAGGGTAGGCTGCTTTGTACAGCTAAAGGACTCTTCAGAGATTTCAGTCCTGGCAGTAATGTTCTTACCTAGCCCCATATCTGGCTACCTGGTCAGGTTCTGGGAACATTTTGGAGGTATGCAGACTTTACTCTCCAACTGCTTACAGTTACTTTTTAATCCGAGTTGGGATCTCGCAAGGAGAATTGGCTTGACAGCCTTGGATCTGAACCTTGCATTTAATGAATAGAAGAGGGACAGCACACTCCTCCCACACTGCTCTGCCTAGTGCGATGTCACTTAGGACAGTCACTTAGGGGTTGTCCTCATGCTGCTCCCAAGATCTCTAGAAGCATCGTTCTTCTGTACCCTATTGCAGAAGGCAAGTTTTGATTGCTTTCTCAGAAGCAAAGCTGAAGACATCCTGTAAGTCACTACTCCGTTCTTACTTGTTTGTGCATCAGAGCCTCTCCACTGGGCAGCAGACACCTGTGCATATATGCTGTGCAATATGCACATATCTATCTGTTTACCGAGACTTTTTCAAGGGACATAATTAACTTTGTTTATCAGGCTTCTAACTTTCAAAACAACTTAGCAATCTCAGGTATTACCATGGGGAGGAAAAAAAACCCCCACCAACAACAGATAGTTCAAGCAAAGGAGTAATACTAAAAGTGGCTTTTAAGGATGGTTCTGTCATTTGGATGGAGGGCATCTGGTTTGCACTGGTTAACAACTGAACTGGTTGCTTTGCTTTCTCTGCCCCCCAGCCACTTTGGAAAATTTCTAAGTTACAAAGCTAGGCAAGACAAGGACAAGGGTTCTGGATTTGTCAGAGGTGTAAGCAAAGAGACTGCCCTGGGCAGGGAGCTGGCAGGGCATTAATAGGAGGGTGGATGCCATTTCAGATGTGGTGTGAAAGGCATTGGTCAGGGCCAGTATCCAAGACCACTAGTCCTTATGGCCTGGTCAAACTCGGGCAGCACTTTGCTGTTAGTCTTCTACAAGGTTCAGGATTTTCCTTAGATTGCTGAGAGCTGAGGGGATGCTCAGGAAATGTCAGATTTCATTAATGTCTTACCTGTGCTTGTGGTGAATGCTTCC